CGCAGGAATTGATATCCCAACTAACTAAGTAGGACACTTTGTAGCTGAGATGAAAATGTTTCGGTTAAAGCAGTGTCTCTGGTAGATTTTCCCAAATAACTAACTGGTTTTCGCGTTAAGTCAACCAAGCAGATATCCAGAGAGCGAAAATTCGTGGAAATGTTGTTTCGACGCTCTGCTGAGAGTAGGTAGTAGGTGTGGTACCTGTTTTACCTTTTATTACTCTGAAACTCTAGAAATTCCTATATCTTTCTCAAAATGTTGCGTGAAATGAAATGAAATTTTGGAAGTGGGTGATGATTGAAAGCGTTGCCGCTGGAGAAGGAACATTGACTCATCTTAAATCTTGCTTGAAAGTTTCACATGACGAAAAGAAGATGTGATATATGTATATGTGTTTTTAAGCTATAAATTTCTTAAACACAGAATGGTGTATCGTATTTTTTACATGTTTATCCTTTAAAGGGTTAATGATCTATTAAACTGACATTCATGAGCATTTAAAACGATTTTCATTTAAGCTGATGCAGGAAGACTGTGACGATTCAGGATCTAGCTGTCATGTTGTACTTATGAACAATTAAAGAAGATCTATATTATGATTTTAACATCACTAATAGACTAACACTAATTTTGACATCACTAATAAACTAACACTAATTTTGACATCACTAATAAACTAAAACTAATTTTGATATCACTAATAAACCCTCCTTTGTTAACGTAGAAGCTGTTACAAATTTCAGGTAAGATTTTCGTTTCTTTAGAGTAGATTTATCACACGCTGTATTTTTAGCCTTTTATCCACTTATGAAATGTCACCTTTTGTGTGCCTTTAATTGATCGAGTTTGTGCTTTTTCCCTGATGGCAAATTTCCGTTTACGTTTAGCGTTAATCTTACAACTGCATTCATTCTCTTTTAACTTTTAATAACGATTCAAATTTTTTTTTACTTAAAAACATGGATCAAATTTTCATAAAATTTCAGTACATTCTCAGTATTTCTCTGTTTTTTATTTTTATTTTTTTCTGTGATTATTATTAAATTGTCTTAAATATATTTTTAAATACAAGTCCTGAAGAAGAATGGGGTAAGTAATCGTAATCTGTAGCTGTTGGAAAATGATGCCAAAAAATAACTCATATTCAGAAGTCGTGAATCAATTGGCGCAATAATAAATTTTTAAATTCGAATTTAAAACTCAAATAGTTTTAAATACATATACCTTCATTTTATCAAGTAACATTTTATTAAGTAACCTACTTTTATCAAGTAACATGCAAGATTATTGTAAATCTTTCAAATTACGATTTTTTGAAATTATGCATTTGGATAAGTAGATACAGAAAACACTCTTAATTAGTCTATATAACAGTGTACAAGTTTTTGTATTGTTAATTTTGGTATAGTAATTATGGTGCGTAATTTACCTTTCAGTTACAATTGTACGCTGCAACATTTTATCTCTCTTGTCTGTACTGTAACTATCATATTCCAGATACATATCCCTAAGGCCGCAAAAGATTTTATCCTTATTAAACTTTTTATTTCGTTCACTCTTTATTTTAAATAATAATCAAAGCTTTCTCAATATTTTATGAATAACTCTTAAGAAAAGAAAAAATGCACAAAATATCACTCCACTTCCCTTTCCCGTAGCTGATCAGCTTGTAAAGTTACACCATTATTACTCTTAAACACAGGGTAACCTTTCTAAACTGCCAGAAAACTCTTAGTTTCCAGTAACATAAAGTAATAATAATATCACTCCACTTTCCTTTCCCGTAGCTGATCAGCTTGTAACGTTACACCATTATTACTCTTAAACACGAGGTAACCTTTCTGAACTGCCAGAAAACTCGTGTTAGATTCCAGTAACATAAAGTAATAATAATATGTATAATGATCTTATTTCAAATGCTTCCAGTTGCACATACCCAGTTCATATCCTGGAAAACGGGTTAGCTGCATGAGAGTGTTTGAGGTTTTCCTCATGTGTAACGTAAATACGAGCAAGTTTCGCTTAATTCTCCTAAGCCGAAAGCGTTCGTGGGGTTTGCCATAATCCAATACAATTACACATTTTCTCAATAAGGAAAAGAAATTTATTTTAAAACTTTTCTCTCATGGATGAGAATTAATTTGCCCAGTAAAAGAAATAAATTAGCACATTAAGTTTCAAAAACTTAAACAAAAATATGAAGAATGTAGCTCGGAACCTGAACTTTTTCACAAATCGAAAGCAATCAAGAATGATATAATAACTGAAGATCTCATTGAAACCAGCTATAAGGAAGAAAATTTTGATAAAATTTAACACATAGTGAACAAAAAAGGATTTTCTAACATTTAAGTTACACAGCTTCAGCTATATAAAGAGAAGTCTACAGATTTGAAGAAACTGCATCTTAAAGATAAAGTGAGAGAGAGAAAGATGAAAAAAACTCTTTTTTAAAATAGTATATGGCTATGTTAGAAGTTTATATTCGTGTTTTAATGCAATAAGAAAACATACTCAATTTGTTTTCAGCATTTTCACTCTTGGCTTAATTACTGAAAGGAGATAGATTATTTGTATCCAAAATTTATGCAAAATGAAATAAAGCGCCAAGCATGTTCTTCTACTTAACAATAAAGAATGTGCTTCCTTTTATTTAATATCTTGCTTGATCAGCAGCATATTACAAATACAAATATTTATTTTTGATGCTCTGAATATTTTTTATTTGGAATATTAAGGGATATTGAGAAATATGTACGCTTATTTCATCACTTCTGCTTTAAAGCAAAAGTAATTTGATCATAAATACCTTTTATACCATATGATACAAATTTTAATTTAGATAACATTATTTTATAGACTAATTTATGATAAGAGCATTAAATGTGTGCTTATTAAGTACAAAAAATGAACAAATTCATGTCATTTAAAGAAACTCATTTATTTATACATGAATCATGACTTTCTTAATGTACCTATCTTTTCAAATATGAATCTCTTCATATACTTGTGTTTCCATTCGATGAGTTTCACGTTTTTGTAAAACCTAACGATTAACAAAAAAGACTTTTCTCGTTACTAAATAATGACAATTTAGTCTATGTTTCAATTTAACAAAAATTAATTTAATGTTAAATTTCAGTTTTTATAAATATATTTTTGTTACACTTATTTCCGAAGATTTTTTAGGAATTTAAAACTCTTCAAACAGGCTATAAATATGATTTATGAAAAACGGGTTTTATATGTATCTGTTCCAACATTTGAATACGAGTTTTTACTTTAAAATCAAGCTTCTTTTTAGATTTGTTCAGCCAGTTCTTTTCAACATTAAAACATGAGTCTTTTAAATATTTTTCCCTACATAATTGAACCCAATTTCTGCCTGAGCAACGTCTCTTGAAACCTGTTCCTATAAATGCCACTGGATTTGACACAGGATTTGTTGTAACACGTAAAATAATTCTCTTAGCTTAATTTCTCTAAACTGAATGTTCTCAGCCAGTTTCACGGCTTCAGCTATTTAATTTAAATGCAGTTCTAAGAGTTTATACTCTCAAATTTGCTTAGTAGATTCAAATGAAGCTATTTACCCTATTTAATTACTACCCGTTGCTCCATAAAGGAAATGGGAAAACATAATGAAGTGATTGCACCGATGAGCCCGGGAGATGAACTAATTAAAGTGGTCTCACAGACTGGTATAGTCATCGTAGTGATTAAAGATGACATCATCTGTTATCAAATAAATTGATCATTTTCTTCCTGTTATTTTTCCGATGTTTAATTATGAAATTAATCAAACCCAAATATGAAGTTCATTCGTCGTTTTGCTTCCTAATATTTACGTTATGTGGAAGGACTTGCTGCTATCATTTCTTCAGTAAATCTTTTCCGAACATATGAAGATTTTGTCTAATGTTTGCATCATAAAATGTTCATGTATACTGTCCTTACTTTTAAGACGTGAAGAGACAAACTGTAGCATTCTCTAAAAGAATTGTGTTAACTCTCTAATACGAATTTCAATTTGAGAAGTCTTTGGAAGTGTCTGTGTAAGCATTAAATTGCAATGATCAAATCTGAGCATAAACTTTTTTAAATTACATTTTTCTTGCAGGTTTCAATTCCTTCGTTTATTCAGGTGATATATTGTTTAATATTACAAAATACTATCAATTTCGCTCACTTCTTTTTATATACTTCTTTTGCGCCTTTGAAAAACACGCTAATAAGGAAAAAGTTGACAAATTCAAAGTATACTTAGGGGTCAAGTAAATAATGAAATACAACACTTTTTTGTACCTCAACATTATACAAGTTCGTCTACTGCTTTTAAATTTTCGACAGAATTCACCCATTGAATTTAAATATTATGATCGCAACAGAAAGGCAGTAGCTGAGGGCATAGAAATGCTGCATCCAATTGCCGTGTCGATCCCCCCCCCGATGCCCAAATCAGTAAGGTGAATATGGGTTACTTTCTTTTGTCGTTTCTTCGTAAAGGCATCTTTAATTATTAAGAAAATAAACGAGTGTTATATTTCAGAGTGCCTCGCCATGTTAAATTGTATTTTACCTGCCATAATTAGAAAAGTGTTATTTCTTTTCATTACGTTCTGTTTCGGAAATGAATTATTATGTAATTGTTACTTGCAATAAATACAATGTTTATTCCAAATGGCAGTCCCTGATCTTAAAATTATGGAACTTACTTTCTTTCTAAACAATTTAAAAGTTTTACCGCATTTCATTCTCACGTGACTGAGGTTTGGAAATCTTAGAACGAGTGTAAATATCTCGCGATGCTAGAATAGTGCAGCATATTTCTCCCGGCATTGCTTTCGAACATCCCTAAAAGAAAAGCGACAATAAATTTATGCCAATCTTGTGCTCCTTCCATCATTTCTGTCCAGTCATTTCAAAGTTTTAATGAATAGAACCAACAGATCGCTAGCTTTCTGGCTCCAGTCTGCTATGTAGTGAAGGTGCTTAGAAAAGGAGGACGGGGAAGGAGGGATGAGACAGAAATAGGGAGGAGACGAAGTTTGGGACGAGGGCCAAAAGAGGGTACAACTGCTCCTCCGGCTCTTCTAACTCAAAAGAAATTTGAGATGCAAGGGATCCAGACTCGAGCAACGCCATGCAACCGGCCCGTCAAGAAGCGTCTCCGGAGGAAGGGAGGCAGCTCCAGCAGTGAGTATAAGTCTAGTCTATGCGTTGGCCAGGTGCACTAAATTAAACAAATATTGAAACAGAACTTAAGTATTTTTTTTTTAAATATGCCTCTGCCTCCAGGTTAACTATTACCTAAATAAAACTGTGCATGTGAAAATACGAAGTTTGTGTAAAATGTTTATAGAGTAAAAACATTTTATGGGAATGTTTACATAGCTTATACTCCTCCAACTGCTACAACAAATAAAATGTTAGCATTTGTGATTTTAAAATATATGACAAGGCAATTTTCCGAAACACATGATGCGTTTAAAATTTATATTTATAAGCACTTTTTGTGTCACATGGTTTTTAACTTTTAATACAAAAATCTCTTTCGTAATAGTATATATATATTATTATTAGTTTATTTTTATTTAGATGCATTCAGCGTGGAGATTAACCATTATACTCAGCAACCATTTTTAGAATATATATTAGATTTAAAACGTGCAGCTGCATTTATTTTTGTGTCGTAAAATTTTTCTTATTTACATTATGGCAATTAACATATGTTGACAAGGCAATTTTCCGAAACATATGATGCGTTTAAAATTTATATTTATAAGCACTTTTTGTGTCACATGGTTTTTAACTTTTAATACAAAAATCTCTTTCGTAATAGTATATATATATATATTATATTAGTTTATTTTTATTTAGATGCATTCAGCGTGGAGATTAACCATTATACTCAGCAACCATTTTTAGAATATATATTAGATTTAAAACGTGCAGCTGCATTTATTTTTGTGTCGTAAAATTTTTCTTATTTACATTATGGTAATTAACATATGTTTTCTTTCCAAACAAGTCCTTGAAATTAAAAAAATGAAATAACAATAAAGCAGCTAAATATTTAAATACAGAAAGATAATAATAAAAATATTTTTTTACTTTGTTCTGCATAAGTATTCCAATTTCCTTTTAACGTATGGATAAAAAGAAGAATGTATATAATATTATGCTGCGCCACATAATGCTTGTTATAGGAAATAAGGTTTTCATTTTTGAAAACAAAATTAACCTTTACACATATTACTTTCATTATTCCTAAAATATAACTATGAATTCATCATATATTCATCCAAATTTCATTTAACTGCAGTTACTATGCACAGATTTCATAAGCGTTTTGCTTAAGAAACGTAATGAAGTTAAGAAAACCTTATACTGTCAAAAAATGTATGTAATAATTTTTAATAAGTTAGATACATATTTCACAATATTTGAAATATTATAGGAATTTTAAATAATAGAACATTAATAATAACTGAACATTATTTAAAAATGACACTTATGTTACGTATCTGATCGATTTCAATGCCAAACAAGACATTATGATTTCATATTTCTTTTTAACGCTGAAATACATAATGTTGATATTAAAACCTGACTAACAATATGAACTTAAATCCATATAGGTGACAAATGAACGTAAGTTTTAAAATAAACGCCAGTACAAGAAGGCTTATAGACATTTATACAAAAATTCTTGTAAAACTTCTGAAGTAAAAAAATTCTTGTTTTCGCCAAAAACAATGTTTAATGGCCACTTAGTTAATATGAAATAAAGCTTTTATTCATGATAGTTTTTAATTATTCAGGACAACTTTATCTTCTTAAAAACACATCTAAAATGTTTATAACTTAATAAAATTTAAAAAATTTACATTTAGTCATCGAAGTAACTTTATGTGAAACGTAGCGAGACCAAGAAAATAAAGGAACATGTCTCGCATGCACGTATGTATGCCTCAGAAGCGTCAAAGAAGTATGTCCTCTTGTCAACTGCTGTTCCTATATTAGGGCGATAAAAATGTATAATTTACACTATTTGCGTTTTTGTTTAATCTCTTCTTTTAATACATTTTACTAAATTATTTTTTACATTACATATTCTATGGAAAATAATATGATAAAATTTTGGCAAAAGGAGAATGTAGCCTGTATAAAAAAATTTTGTACGACTCAAAAATTTCATCTGTGATATCAGGCACCGAAATACTGAACCAGATAAATCTTATTCTGTACTCATGCGTATAGTATTCATTCTTAAAGATGACTGTGCATGTTTGATTAAAGAGCACAGTGTTTTAGGTGCACATCATTTCTGCATACTAGATATGCTATTATAAAACATTTTCAGATATTTAAAGATAATCTGCAAATTAATTTTATCATTAAATGCCATCAACTTATAACATACACTTGATCAGAGTGTTGAATAATATTCAACATAAAATACTGGTTTGACTTTTTTCAGTTACATAAAAAAATTACCTGCGAGCTTTTTTAAACTAATAAACGTATTTTAAAATCGCCAATATATCTAAAATGTTTTGGATAAAAATCTTAAAAAAAGGACTGTACAATTTTCAAAATATGTTTAATACTTGTACTAATTTAAGCTAACAGTTTTTACCTGTTAAAATACTTAAAAGTAAATATTAATTTTTTATAAATATTAATTTCGGAAATTTTAGTAGTTTGTCATAGTATTCAGTCAAATTTCTTACCACGGAAAAACAAATATTAATGTTTTTACTTAACAAATAGTTAATGCTTTTAATAAATAAATAGTTAATGCTTTTAATTAATAAATAGTTAAAATATTCCGTGTTATTTCTCTACTTAATATATCATATCTCATGAGAATTGCGTGTATTAGTGATTTTACCTTCATAAAGAAATTAATTTCTCTTTTAGATTTAAAAAAATCTGAGAGATCTGAAATAATTTATTTTAAAGTTTAATATTAACCTGTTACTCCTCTTCACGTATAAAAAACCATTAAGGATCAAACTCGTGCTTCGTCAGATGTAAACTGTCCAAATAAAATAAACTAACAAAAAATATTCTGAAGAAATAATTTCATATTTAGTTGTTTGTTTATGGCAACGCCTAAGAGAGCCATCTACTAAACAGAGAGAGATCGCTTCCTGGAGAACATTTTAGGGAAAATGGCTCGTATTCACATTGCACATCAAAGAAAAACCTTGAAACCACTCACGCATTAGCTTGTACACTGGGTCTTGCACACATACAGACTTGTACACTGGGTCTTGCACACATACAGACTTGTACACATACAGACATAGGTCCAACTATCAATGTTCAGCAATCTTTAAAATCAGCCAGTAGTAGGCCATATATTAAACAATGCATTGCAGAAATAATTAATATTATAATAATATTTTTAAATTCCACATTAGAAGTATTAAGTTCGACGTCAGCATGCATAGTTCACAATCATTATATAAATAATGACTTTTCCCTAATCTTGGAATTAAACCCCTTTATAAACAGTGACGGATTAATAATTAGATCTACATAATCATCAAAATTGCTAAGAAAGATAGCATATCAAAATCACTTTTTAACATAAGTTCACATCTTATTCTTGGAACGGAGCACACTTATAATCATCGACCATATTTAAAACTGATTTCCGTAGTAATCTCTACATATAAGGAGGAAGAGAACAGGCAGACTCACGTGAGAAGACAGCAATCAGTGCAGCAAATCTATACGTTAGTCTTGTTTTACGTTCGCAATCCATACCGAGAAAAGTTCTGATTGGTAACATATGATTTCATCATAATAACTGGTGGTATCCACAAAATCTAACAAAATAAAATTAAATCTACAAAATAAAATAATCATTCCCTTTTCTAATTTCTAATCCGTGTGAAAAGCACAAATAAAATGTTAGTTTAGTCTACAAAAGAAATTTTAAATGCAATTTTATTATCAGAATTTTAATTCGAGTGTGAATTGCAGTTATAATTAGGTAAATCAGAAAATTCAAATAATATTTGAGAAATGTTATCATAATAGAAAGAAAATTCAACTTCTTAAATTCTTGAGATTTTATTTATCAAGTCTTTTTTTTTTTTTTTTTTTTTTTTTTTTTTTTTTAATGTTTCAAATCATTTAGAGAGAAAACACTAACTTAAAATTCAGCAAAAAGTTTGGTGTGACGTACAACTTCAAGTATACCATAAACACCGTTTAATACATGTAGAAGTATATTATAAACATTAGTTACTCTAAAAATATATTATAAACATTATTTATTGTAAAAGTTTATCATAAATATCGTTTAACATCAATAATGTTCCCAGCACACACAATTTTGAATATGCTACGAGATTCTTGAAATGAAAAGTATGTGATTTAATCAAACTAATTAATGTTAATTAAGTCCTCACTTTTCCCAATTATCGAAGTAAGGAGCTTATGCATTCTTTTCCATAACAGTAATTATAAAGTAAATCATTAAAAAGGTTTTTGATTCACAATTGTTAGAAATATGCATATTTCCTAGATCTTTTCCTTTAGATGCGTGCCAAGATATTTACCTTATAAAAGTAAAATGTATTTTCAAAAAACGAAAGAAGAAAAAGGAAAGAAAAGAGTTTCCAACTTTCTAAGACTTGAAACATTTGTCATAACTATAGAAAAGTGTCCTCAATATGACGACTTGGAGCACTTTAATCTTGAATAGTGGAATGCACCAGAAACTTAAAAGTTTGACTTTTTACGCATTTTTGATTGCTGTCGTAAAGCCAAATCATAACACATTTGCTCTGGATGTTTGAGGCAAGAAGGAAAGCATCTCAGTTGGCAAAAACCCAGAGTGAGTTGGCAACTTCGCAGAGTAGGAGCATCTCTTCGGCCTAAACAGAACTGATTTCAAAACAGTTAGGAGTTCTTTTCTTATTTTACTTTTCTCAGCTTTGTAGGTTATTTGATTAAGATTTCAGCAAAAAATGTAAGCATAGTCGAACGATGTACAGAAGTCAATTTCAACCTCAGGTATTCTCTATAAATCGAATTGATGTTGTGCCAAATATAGTCTTGAGCAAGACTTTCAATTACGGAAAATCCAACCTGGTACATTGCCAGTAGATTTGAAGTTGAACAGAACTATAAATCCATTGTTATTAAACAGGAAAATTATCTCAAGAAACCTGAAGATTTAGGCTAATTACATTTCTTTTATCCCAAAGCAAATGGTTTTAATGCAATCTTTGTTGATTTTATCGTGTTCATTTAAAAATATTAGATTATTATAGCATAAAAAGGAATGTGAGTAAACATTTTTAAAGAAATCTCAGATATTATGCACAGCAATAATTAAAATGAGAGGTTGATTTCAAATATACTTTAAGGCTAGAGTTTTCTAAGGGTAACTAATGTAAAATAAATAAAAAGATCATAATTTACGATATTAAAATAAACTTAAAATTCATAAAACTCCTCCTGATACGGTTAGCTAATTGTGAAACACGCTAAACAGGAGATATTAATAAATCTCTTGTGTTCAGCTGTTCTAGATAGTAGTTAGTGTATCAGAGTTAAGGTTACTTCCTTTTTTCTCTTAAAGTATTGGAAATTTATTGTTAAATTTGAGTACAAAGCTAAATCTTTTTCTTACCTTTAGCTTCAAGTGATATTCAAAATTTTATAGCTTCATTTATTTACATAAATCACTTTATCTGATAGGATTAAATTTAAGTGTTTTAAGAGTTTAAAAATTTAAGAGTTTAAAAATACTTTTTAATTTTAATTTAAGAGTTTAAAAATACTTTAGTTTACAAATCATAAATTTTATTTTGAAGTTGACTGATTGGTTAATAATTTCAAACATCTGGACATAACATTAATAAGTACTGATTGATTAATAAGTACAAAGCTCTAGAAGACTAACTAGATCGAATGCTGTCTAAAGGAAAACACTTTTTTTTTTTTTTTTCGTTATAAGACATCACGGGCCAAGCATTTTTTCCCCAAGATAAATGCGTCTAAATAAAATGGAGAGGAAACATTATTTCATCTATGGTGAAAAGCATCTAAATGTAAGAAATATGTCTCTTAGGTTAATTATTTTTATAAATAAAGACCGAAATATAGATTGTTATAACGGAAAAGCTCCGAAAAATGTCCTGTACTTAACGTTACACTTGGGGATAACCGAGACAGCAAATACAAGTAAACCCATTCCCCACCTAGAAGCAAAATTAGCATTTCACTGTCACAGTTGCACAGCTTTAGTTACTCTGTGAGGGGGCTGAGCGTTTAATTTATGGGATGTTTATATATAGTGATGGAACATCACTCACTACGAGTAAATAGCCCTGAAAACTAAATTTAGAATAACTCTGAAAATGAGTTTTTGAAAAGCATATAGTTTTTATTTTCAAATTTTAATGAATTATTGCTTTATAAAATACTAGGGCATCTCTGCTCTGTTTTTGAATCCTAAGAAAGTACGTAATGAATGATAATTATTGCATTCCATGCCTAACATCTCATAATACAAATCTTTCTGAAATGAATTTTGAAATGACCAGTGAATATTCATCACTGAAATTAATTTAAAAGCTTTAGTATATCTCTTCATCAAATGTAATAAATGTATTTTAATTCTGGATGCAGAGACTGTCAGAGAAGTTATTCTGGAATTCCTAGCCGCTCATATATCTCCATGTCTACGGCCCTCACTTCAAAGGATGAAAGAAAAGATTCATCAACAACAGCTTCTTGAAAGCAGGGTTGAGGACTCGGCAAGTAGGAGCTGTGGCTCTCTTATTTGCATGGATCCTAGAAATTCCAATATCCTTTCACTTCTTTAGGTGCAGTGAATTTGAGTTTCACTCTATTCCCATTTGAACTACGTGGTAATGTTTTTTAGTCGTGCACACCGTTGTATGCATATGAAAAAGCATGCTAGCGAGATCTACAGGATTTCTTGCTTCTTGCATCTGCATGGTTAAGAAGAATTTCTTTCTTTCTACAGTTTAAAATACCTACTAATAATTCCCACCCTGTGTTGTTCCACTAATGACATATAACGATGAAAATATTTCTTCAAATATCTCTGCGTACTATAATTTTATATCCCTATCATAATCATACTCTTGATGCATCATTTATAGACGGTTTGAGAAATGCAGATTTTCGGCATCTGAGGTAAGAATCCCACTTAAGGTTTTAAACTAGAGGTATTTGTTTTTAATCGTTATTTATTCTTAGTAAAATCGTACTCATTAACAAAAAGTGTTAAAGTTTTAGCTTTTATTTAATCTAAATTACGGCACAAGGAGTTTTCTAAAATCGCATTTCAGTGTGATATTTCTTAAAAATATAAGTGATTTTAGGCGAGGAAAGGCATTTACTACTTTTTTTAATATGCATAAAACTGAAAAAATAATAAAATGCTAGGCGTTAAATTGTTAGTTCCGGTACTATTGCATTAGACACAAACACCCCTTGTGCCCAGATTATGATCGTAAAATAACAAAAACTCAAGTTACATGAATTGTTAGTTTTAAGGCTTCGGAAAACTCTAAGATTTGCGTATTGCTCAAGCCTATAAGCAGCTGAGTGGTAAAATCATTAGGCATTTGTAGTTCGACTTAGATTCAAATCCCAGCCAAGAGACTAGCTGTAAAGAGTTTTAATAATTTCCCCCATGTTTAACATGAATTCGAACCAGTTTCTCTTAGACAATCCATCATGAAGGAATCCCTTCCCGTACGCACCCGAGTGTGCTTTGCCGTACGCCAAATAATCCTAATTTTATATTATTTATTATTGAGTTAAAAATAGTAAATTAACAAACAATGGTTAAAAATAATAAACTTAAATCCATCAGAAATCCTTTAAGTGAATAAAATGTAAAGATTTCAGTTGTATTAGTTTATCTTAATTCAACTATTCATAACATGAGCTATCGTACTTAAAATTCGTTTTGGAGAAAACAAAGTCTCGCTAACTTCCAACTGTTATAATACAAGGCCCAACGATCTCAACGATATGTTTTATTTATTAACTTTTTCATTTAATTGTGAGCCTCCCGTGAAATTCGATAGCTTCATCTTTGACAGGAAAATTTCTGAGCTCACTTTATCCTAAATTAAACGTAATAACCGTTTCTATGAATAACTCATTATATATACGAAAAGTATTCTCAAAATTATAATTTTACTTTGGGCTGCTAGAACCCTGCCAGCCACTAATGCTCAAAGTTTTTACCGTGGTATTTATAAGTTAGTAAAACATCGATTTAGTCGTAAGTGTCGTGAATATAATGCTGCAATTTCGACACACTTTTTCTTCTGTTGCTTTATCATGTTTTATATGGTATATGAAATGCGACTGCTTGCAATTTTTAAAGTTTATTCTTTTAAAAATGTTTTAGTCGAGTTTTCATGAGATTATGCTTCCTGTTATTTGAAAACCGCCCTTTATCCGTTATCCTTTTTGGAGGGAGAACAATTTATGAGAAGAAGGGAAAATTAAATCCGGTGTTCATAATTGTGTCAGCTATATAAACCAGTGTACTGGAGTTAAATAGTTTGATAGTAAAAAGCATATTAATTATTGAATTATGTAATTAGCTCTTCAAAGTTAGCAGAATCTATTGCAAATGCTTGGAAATGGTAAAATTATTTGTCACAGATATTTCTGCCAAAAACGAGTCAATTTTCTTAAAATACATTTTCTGATAGATAAAAAGAAAATTTTAGAACAGTCTCTAATATCTTTAACTGAAAATTTAAATACTTAATACCGTAAAATTTGTACTTATGCTATCATATTTTAATAGAAATTAGAAAATATATTTCATTTTTGTCTCTTCCTACCTTGAGCGCTAAGCTAAGGCTTTATCTAAGTTTGGCTAAGTTAAGTTAATCGGCGATAGATAAACACCTTAACACAATTTTATAAACATTTTCTATCTAGAAATTTTAATTTCTTTCTAAAATTAATTTTCTCTCACATAAAATTCATATATTCTCTAAAAAGCACATGTGATTTCTTTTACAAGAATTTATAGTCAAATAATAAGACCTTATTTATCCCCAAATCAGGTAAATTCATAATTTGTGCTTGAAATAAGGTCACTTTATAAGGTATTTCTCCCACCTTCCTAGCGTGCCTTCGTGGTGTAGTGGTTCTGCACGCTAGCCCGGTATTCCAGAGGTCTGTGGTTCGATTCCCGGCGAAGGCGATTGCTCATTTTTCATCTCTCCGGCTTTTCCAATTAACCTAATGTCTCTACAACTTTCCTAGTTCCTTATTGTTTATTTATTATTTCTTAAACAAAAGAAAAAATGTACATCAATTTGAAAACTTTTTCCGCTAAATGTTTTTGTACTAAATTTAGAGATTGAAATTTGTCAAGAATGAAAAGATATGAGTCGATAAAATGCTCTGAAATTCCCGTTAGTATTTAACGTGTCAAATTTGAATAAGAATTTTTGATTTCTTTTTACTTCGCGCTTTTACTGATATTAATTTAAGTACGTAAGGTCTTTTCTTCAGTATTTAAACAAATAATATATGAATTCTAGTAAAACTATTATCTGTGTGCTTGTTATTTTCAATACACTTTTTTTACTTATTATCTTGTCATAGACGCGAAGTCTTCCAATGAAAATTGTATTTCCGGAAAATTTGACAGGTATAAATAAGAAAACAGATTTACAAGGCCCATAGTTATGAACACATATTTAAAAACTTACTTTAATTACACTTTTTTATCCAATGGCGAGCACTTACCTCTTCCGCATTGGCCATTCCTAACGTTCAGAAGTAGTGACCCTTTTATTTTGGAGGCAATTAATAGGCGGCAACCGTTGACTGCTATGAAGAGACGGACAGTTACAACCATGCTTTCTCCGGGATTCGAACTTGTGCTCATCGGTACTGCAGTAAGCTTCCCTATATCATTTGGGCTGCACTTTAATTACACTTGAATACGTGAATTTATACTTAAATTCCTCTCACTGTAAATATGTTATTTAACAAAAGCTGTTTCGTTATGCGCTTTCTACAGATAATTAGAATATAGTCAGTTATTATTTTCTTGTTTGTTTTCTTTGCGGCATCAAATCGTGTTACATTTCATTAATTCTTTGATAGCTTTCCTGAAAGTGGTTTCACTACTTCTCGCATATCCATTGATTAGCTATCTAAAGGTTCGCTTAACTTATAAGGTATTTCTCCCATTTCCCTAGCGTGACTTCGTGGTGTTCGTAGTGACACGCTGGGCCGGTATTCCAGAGGGTCCGTGGTTCGATTCCCGGCAAAGGCGGTTGCTAATTTTTCATCTTTTCTGCTTCCAATTAACCTAATGTCTCTACAAGTGGCGCCCGAACTAAAAGGGTTGTGGATGATGATTCTCCTCACCCAGGATTTGGCGACTAAGTCCCCTAAAACCCTAGTCGCCCTTTAAAAAGGGGAGTATATAAGGTATTTCTCCCACTTCGATAGCTTGCCTTGGTGGTGTAACGGAGCACGCTGGGCCGGTATTCCAGAGGTCCGTGGTTCGATTCCCCGGTAAAGGTGGTTGCGTTTTTCTCATCTTTTCTGTTTCCAATTAACCTAATATCTCTACAAACTCAGGTACAACTTTCCTACAAAACATTCTTAAAGTCACTTGAATAATACAAACCATTATTTGATGGAGGAGTGGTTTGTTTGATTCTGGCAAAGCGCGTCAGGGCTATATGCCTAAGTGGAGAGGGATGCTTTCGCAGAGGATTTTCTAGGGAAAACTGATTCGCATCCACCTTGCACATGGAGAAACACGATCAACAAATGCGGATAACCTTTGAAATTTTTTTATGAAGCTCTAGTCTAGATTTTAGCTCTAGTCAAGCCATCGCGTTCAGCGACTTCAATGCTTAGTCGCTGGTGAGCCTTCGGTGAAAGGATGTAAAAATTCAGTGTTTCAGTGTCAATAACTAAAGCATTATGCTACTAATCTCATTAAGATCTGAAAGAATGGAAATAAATACATTCTAAATCTTCAGATACTGTTCTTAAAAACCTAGCGGAATAGCCGTAAGGAACGCGTCACCTGCTAACATTTAAAGTAACAAATGATAAAAGTAGTTTTAAAACGCTGCATAGAATCAAAATACTGCTAAAATGTGAATCCATCAAATCTCCTCAAAATGAAATTTGATTCTTAAACGTTCTTGTTGCAGCTGCTGTTCAAAATTATCAGTTTTACGACAGAAATTATCTAAACAGATCTTATATCTAAATGACTAATTTGTTATAAGGTCTTGCCCACTTAGTCCCAAATGGGAAGAATGACATCCCTAAGTAAAACTGAGTGTATAGGCGAAGAGTGTTATATAGCTAGTAGAAACGCTTTCAAAGATTGTGCATTAAGAAGATAAAATTTAATCGCTTAGAGGGCTTTAGCTAAAATATAGTGAACGCCATACAACTTTGTTCTGAACTGAAGTATCTGTACTGAAGGATACAGTTAATACTTTCACTTTATAAAGTCATTTAAGTAAAGTGTGTCATTTATATAAAATTTTTCTTCTAGTTGGAATATTGTTTTTCTCTAGGCCAAAAGTCTTAATTCGGAAAACTAAAGAAGTTCCATGTGAAATAAAAATGGCGTATTTAAATAATAATAATTAACGCACAATGGGAATAGTCTTTTCCTGTCTATGAGTTATCATAAAATTTGATAGGGAAAGTAGAATATTAATTTCAGGGAAATTTAATCAAGCTAACACTTATAAATAAGTTAAAACGGA